GGTCCACCGTGGACAGACCCAGATCCTCCAGCAGAGACCGGTCCACCATGGACAGACCCAGATCCTCCAGCAGAGACCGTTCCACCATGGACAGACCCAGATCCTCCAGCAAAGACAGGTCTACCGTGGACAGACCCAGATCCGGCTTCACCTGCAGCCTTGGACCTGCAGTCGGAGCTCCGGAGGGAGGAGGAGAGCTCAGCTCCCGGCAGCAGCAGCGTCTCCTCCTTCTGTAATTTGTAGTATTTTAATTGACATAATCATTACAGAGTGGAATAATAATAAGAGCATAACATCATTATGATGATACTGTTATGAGAACAGCTAACAGTGGCAACACAGACGCAACATGCAAAAATAACTAGTTACAGGACGAAGAGCAGCTTAATGTAAACATTATTAATTGATTTCTATATTTTCGTCTTTTCCCCGTAAGATCAGAGAGTGTATATACAGGAATCTTTCAGTTTAGAGACACAGAGGATAAGCATGAACGTTCCTCTGACACCTTCCTCGTGATAAACGTGTTTGCACCTCTGGTGGTAAAGATGTAAGAACAGCGAGGGCGTCTCCTCAGGAGAGCGCTTTAAAGATTACACCTGCACATACAAGGTCTGTCTTCACTGTGTTGCTAATAGGGAGGTTTAAGTCATGCTGAAGCTGAATTGTTTTGTTGAGTCACATTTACGAAAGTGTGATACGAGTTTTACAAATAAAAAAACAGCCACTAAGATAACACTACATATTCAAGATGTTCACTGTAAAATCAGAATGCGTAAACCTGGAATGTATTTATTCTGGTATTTTTCTGAATAATGAGAATTCAAATGTTTCCCTCCAAGACTCCACGGACACAAGAGACACGATCTGAATTAAAGCTGCACATGAATGTAAAACTCAGCAGAGATTAAACACAGGAACATTATTATTTTACATTATTATTATAAAAGGAATACAAATAAATTAGATTACAATGAAAATAAATTCAAACACACAGTTAGGAAAATAAAATGGCATAACTTCAAACCTCAGTGTCATATATGAATATGAATCCCGCTCTGAATACAAAGATACAGAGTTTAACTCTTCTATTAAGACTAAGACATTCTACCGAGGAGTCCTCTCAGGGACTTGTGTCATGCTGCCCCCTGGTGGGGAACAGCTGCGGTAGCACCTGAGGCCCCTCTGCTGTGAAACAGTGGAACTAGTTTTATGTGTCTTCTGGCCCACGTTTTTATTTATCAGTTAAAAACTAATAATAAAAGACAGTATTGACATGCATTAAGAGCCCCAGCTGGACTCAAACTAGCAGCAGAACCTCTGACTGTGTGGCTCATGGGGTGATGTCATCGTTTTGGTATTCAGTATTCAGTTCAACATTTTCATTTATTCAGTAATTCAGCATGTTAGCATGCTAGCGTTAGCATTTATGTAGAGCATCACAGGCCTGTAACAGTGAGCTCTAATATTTAGTTCATGGAATAATAATAACAATAATAATAATAAGAAGAAGAAGCAGGTTAATCGGTGTCGAGGTGCATTTTCAAAAATCAA